TAATATATCGGACACAATGAACCGGTCTTGCAAGCCGTGTCTTTGACTCGAGATTCTCCGTGTCCAAGCGAAATAACTTGACAATAGATTGTGACTGTGGCTTGACCAGGGCCCTATGAGTAAGGGTCAGACAACATCCGCCATCACCTCGATTGAGTTGATGATGCCGATGGGCTTGTGCTGGTTGGTTCGCAGCGTGTTATTCTGTGCAGCAGCGAATTCCCTAACTCCACGTGGGCCCTGGAAAATGCAGTGAATCTACCGATAGAAAAATGCTGTGGTTCGGTTGGTTGGTCAAGTGCCCGAGATTGCGCGTCGGTTTACTAATAATTCTTGGTATTAAATGTCTCATACGCAAAGCTCTACTGAACTGATTATTAGTGTGCTTTCACACATGGTTTTCTCGTGTTGTGGTTGTGATATGCAGAGATCAGTTCAATTTAGGGTTGGCCTGGTCTGTTAAACTCCATTCTCATCTCGGGCTGTCAACTTCAAATGATCCTTGGTCACGGGCTCCTTCGATGATCTACAGATGACTCCGAGATCCTTCCTTGATGCTTATTGTAATCCTGGATAAGCTTGGCTAAGGATATTGACATTCGTCTTTAAAAGAGGTAATCATCATCCTCTTTATCACCTTGGAACCTCCCTCGCCTAAGCGTCCTGGTTATCCACCCCGTTAACAACTGACATATATGCATAAGATCGCCATCTTCAATTTAACTTAGAGGCCATTTTGACTCTAATCTATCTTCCTCCTGTCTTTCAATGTTACCGTCGTATTTCCCACTTCATCCCATGTCGACAGTCGGCCTACTTCTCGGCTGTTGGTCTTGCTCTACCTCCACAAACCGTTGGCGCGTGGTGCTCTATACCTACCTATACATAGAATAGGCGCCAACAAAGTTATCTAGAGTTGCATCTGTGCTGTCCATATCCGTATTCTGCTATTGCATGATAAACGGAGATTGGTTCCGTGAACCTTCTTTCCGCCCTGTTGTGAAATGCTCAGCCACTTGCATAACAATCTGTTCAACTCTGTCCACCGTCTGCGGATAGAGTCGATAGACTGACTGAAATTCTCCTAGCACTCACCCGAAGCAGCCAGTATCGTTAGTTTCGTCTGGCTTCATCAAAGCAGAGGCCGATCATGGTCTATTTCCAGCTCCAGAAAATACGAAATAGTGGTCCAGGGTCTCACCAGATTGGGATATCCGTGGCCTAATCTGGCCGCAATTTAACAGGCCCTCCCCCTGCATCTCAAATGAACCGCTGCCATATTGGTGGTCGCGTTATTTGACGCGATCTCAACTTCAGTGATTCGATTCTTCCTCCCGAGTATCCGCTCCGTTTTGTTTCTACCGCTTCTTCTTGGCCAGCTTAGGCAAGGTTTGGCTTGGTTCATCGTGATGGTTTCGTTGCCAAGAGACTCTATGTGCTCATCTAATCTCTATCCATCTCCTTACGAACCCGGATGACCAAAACTGATTCAGTTGATTCCCAGGTTGTGGAAACTGCATCGTCTCATTACAATTTCTCCTATCAGATCGCCCATGTAAGCGGCTTTCACCTACATGCCTCCACCATCACCACCACCGTCCAGGTCGCTTTCGCCCTACCGCTCTTGAATACGGGTCCAAGCAAGCGTTGTCTTGTTGGTATTGGCGGACGTCTCCCTGCCTGACCTGATGTTTATAGCCCATGTCAGTAGCTGACTCTGCCTGAAACGAAACGAGTGTCCCTTCGAGAAACATTTGAAAGACAGCCGACTCGGTAGCGTAATTTGCATTTCCCAGCAAAGATCCATCCGGCTCTACCGTCCGTCCTTAAGCAAAGACTAACGATACCAGTGTCTCCTGAGACGAGGCCGCCCGCGGCTCGCCTCGCTCGGTTCGGTGAACTATCAGTTCTTGAAACAGCTGAGTCGAGTTCCCGGACTCGGTTGTTTCCTTTCAATTCCATCAAGGCGGAGAGCTTCAGCTCCTCGGTCTATCCTGGTTTCTTCAGCTTGTGACATGAACGTGATCCATACTAATACGTCAAGGATGATGCTGAATGTCACTTTACGGCGGACATATACATACCAAGAGCAAGCTGGGATTTCCGATGTCATCATATTAGAATTCGTCTTTATACTCTCTGTTGTGGCTCTTTGTTTGACATTCGTCTTGGTGAGTGGTCTGCAAGGCTGATCACATCCAATCACGAGGGTTAAGGTCTAGCCTCTTCCTCCGGCTTTAACTTGTCTCGTTTTTTGTAAGCCGCGAGACATTCTTATGAGTATCTCCTCCAGCAGGTCCTGTGTGCATTCATAGAGATGGCTGATACTTGCTGCATACCGATTACTGTCCTCGTCGTGATGGTCTCGGGTTAATCGGGTTAAGTATGCGAGTGGCTTTTATATTGGCGGACCCTTCGATCTGCTAGAGACATCCAATAACCCGCGAACTAAGACATGCATAAGTCTATCCTTTGTTCTCCATCTGGGCTGGAATGGTGTGTTGATTGAGCCACCAGACCCATTTCGAGTATCTCTGTCGGTCTGTCCCATTCACAAGCAGGGCTATGCGTATTTGATGTAGTGATCGAAAGCAAAACAAGCCACGAGGCAACTTTGGAATGTGACTTAGATCTTGGTTTCCATCTATTTTCAACCTCGATGGGGATAGTAATGACTCTAATTGTGCTATTCATAGGCCTGTCTCTCGTCTCATCAATCATTTCGCGTGGCAGGCTGTTGGCTCACGAGTAGATGACGATGGCAATGCTTGTCTGTCTTTTCAGTCAAGTTCCTTTCTCTACTTTCCTTGATTCAGTCATCTAGCGATTGGTCAATTTCTGTGTCTATGTTCTCCCAAGTTGGTGTGCACGGGTTTGATGTTAGAAAGGTCTAACGGCATAGATAAAGGATTCATCCATGTGTTTCAACTAACCGACAAAACCAAGCTATCACTGTCCGACTATTGTTAGCAATGTGACTAGTCAGCTTGAATATGCTCTTTCTCTATTGTGATACCAAAGTTGTTCCCTAATCCTGTACGTCGGACGTCCTTGAGCTGGACATGTTGCTCTTGCTTTCTGCAAGTTGTGGTTTTCACATATGTTTCCGTGTTCGTCGATACTGGGGCAATGCTGTTCCTTTCTCCCTGTACCCATCTGGCTATGATATTTGAAATGATAAGTTAGTTATTGTGTTGAGAGTGAAATGTTTCACCTATATCGCACACTTCATGCGCCCGAAAGATGCACAAACATAGAATTACCAAAATAGGGCTGTATGCGTATATTTGCCATACACTTCAGAGGACTAGGATGTGCCAATATTGCTATGCGATGAAGAATGTTGGCTGGTATCTAACGTCAACAGAGAGTAGTCAAACCGGGAGGTTTGTTAACCCAGATTCTATTATACGTATAGGGTAGTTGAAATGAGAGTGAATTCAACCGTTCAACAGGCGGCGCTAGAGAGTATAAACATGTCTACCGGCGGATATTTTATGGCAGCATAGGCTTTATATGATCGTTCGTATAGGAGACATGTATATGAGAGCGTTGTGTTGATCTTATGGGTTTTATGTGCTCATATTCCTTCATGAAATATTGGATTTGCATGACACGCAGATAGGACACAGAGAGAAAGGCAACCATAAATCTGAGCCACTAGTTTTCATTTCACGCCCATAACAAGCATGCAACAACATACTCTTGTGATTTAACCGTGATGCAAGTTCACATATGTAGTTGAACGTCAATACTCGTGGTCGTTTGCTCCCGGGCATCCACCGATCTCAACGGGCGTCCGTCCCGGCGACGGCCGGCCCCACCAGCCACTCATGCCACTTTATTTTGGGGTTATCTGGCGTCTCATTTGTGCAATTAGACCCCCCTGCTGGAATTCATCTACTATCATGAGCCATCAACTCAAGCCTCTGGAGGATTAACCTCTATCTCACTCTTTTTAAACTTCAACACTTAATCATGGCTCGTCGACAGCATTTAACACTGACCTTTATTCTGGTCCTTGGAGCCTTCTTTACCTTATCCTATTTCTTCTCCGGACCCTCGCGCAGTATTCTTCCTAAATACCAAAATGACGTTGAACTGCCCCTGAAAGAAGCCCCTCGATCTGAGTTCGCTGCTGACCTCGGCGCTCTGCCTGCTGGTCTTCTCGATGGCCACTCTATTGCGCCTAAGCTCGAGAACGCGACGTTGAAGTATGTTGATCGACTTTCCTTTCACGAGCAAACGCACCACTAACACTGCTTCACAGGGCTGAACTTGGCCACGCGACGTGGAAATTCCTTCATACGATGATGGCACGATTCCCCGATAAGCCGACCAAGGAGGATCGCATGGCTCTCGAGACTTTCATGCACCTATTCGCCCGACTCTACCCTTGCGGCCAGTGTGCGGCGCATTTCCAAAAGCTTCTCGCCCAGTATCCGCCACAGACCAGCAGCCGCAACGCAGCGGCTGGATGGCTGTGCTTCGCCCATAACATTGTCAATGAGAGGGTACACAAGCCTCTCTTTGACTGCGAAAATATTGGCGACTTCTACGATTGTGGCTGTGGTGATAAGGACAAGAAGGAGGGTGGTGCAGAAACCACAGCGGTTGCTCAGGCCGAGGGACCGGATCAGCAGTTGCATAAGCATTGAAGAGCAGGGCCATAAATATCCATATTAATGTACAAGTAATTCAGTAGGAGGACCACGCATGTGCTGGCTTTGGCTGGACCAGCTTGCTCATGCTTGATATACTACAATTCCTCCAAACTCCTGCACGCGTAACTACCATAAACGAAGAAAAAGACAAATAAACACATATAAAACACTCATGAATTTCATTATATCATAGCAATATCGGTATCAAATTAGGAGCGCTGTTACAATCAACCTCATCTTCATGCGATATGAGTTTGGATATGTCACGTGCCACATCACCTGACACAGTAGCTGGCTGTTGGTGCGGCTGCGCGTTCAGAGCTGCCTTGAGCTTCACTTGAGCTCCAGCCTTCCCCGAGCAGCAAGCAACGACCACGAAACATTACGAAGCACGACTCCGAAACGATCGATTACCCATACTTTTGCAAACTCAAGGAAACACCACTAAATCGCCATCATGGAGTTTGGTAACGCTGGAGTATTGAATGAAGGTGCGTTGGAACTCTTTCGTCATAGCTTGGCCTTGTCGATATGGAAGCTTACAGATATCACCAGATGGTATCCATGTTGATATGGATCGCCTGAAGAAGGGAGAGGTCAAGTGAGTATTGAATCATATCTCTTGTCATCAAGCACAGTTTGCTAACCTGTTCAAAGCCTGGGAACCTCGATGTATGTGCTTCCTTATTGATGCAAACAACATTGCCTAATATATTACTAGTATGGCGGTTACTTTCAAGGACGGTGTCATTCTTGGTATGTATCTCATGCTCTGGCGAACACGTATTTATTAATTATTATTTTTAGGTGCGGATTCACGAACAACGACCGGTGCCTACATCGCAAACCGAGTGACAGACAAGTTGACGAGAGTACACGACACTATCTGGTGCTGCCGATCTGGCTCAGCTGCCGACACACAGGCTGTTGCCGACATTGTTCAATACCAGCTTGGACTCTTTGCCATGACCAATGGCAAGCCCCCCATGACACAGACCGCTGCATCAATCTTCCAGGAGATCTGCTACGCCAACAAGGACCGCCTGTCGTACGTTCAGACAACCCCATTTCCAAATTGAACAGGATACTAATGATCATCTACAGGGCTGGTCTCATCATTGCTGGTTGGGATGAGCGATTCGGTGGCCAAGTTTATTCTATTCCCCTCGGCGGTTCCCTTCACAAGCAATCCTATGCCATCGGCGGTTCAGGATCGACTTACATCTACGGTTACTGTGATGCCAACTGGCGAGAAGGCATGGAGAAGGATGATGCAGTCAACTTCGTCAAGGGAGCATTGAGGGAGGCCATCAAGTGGGACGGTAGCTCTGGTGGTGTCATTCGTATGGTCGTCCTCACCAAGGACGGTGCGGACCGACATTTGTATCTCCCTGATACCGACTACGCCGTGCGGCACGAGTAATGGTCCTTCTTGAACAGGACAAATTGAGGAAAGGAGAAACGACTTAGCATGAGCAGTGCTACTATGAAACCCGTCATGACAAAGGGTGTGCGAACGAGGGAGAGGCTTTCCATGGGCACCCCTGATTGATGTTGAGGTGAAGAATGAAGAGCATATGGTCAAGAGAACAGCCAACGATAGATGCTGGAAGCGCTGTACACTAGATAATGGGAACAAGAAAACCAATACATCTACCGACCTCATTGGGAAACAAATCAGGAACCCAATATGGGAGCGGAACGGGATATGCATCGGGCCGCGATCCAAGTCCAATCCCCGCAACATGTGAAGCCGTGATTAGGTTGATAACGTGGGGTAATATTGTTTGGTTTAAGCCACTCGAATACGAGCCTACATGACGGCGAAATCAATTCGAAACAACCCAAATGAATCGCTTTCCAAAGCAAGGCGTACAAAGATAAGTGGCGGCGGCTATCTAGATTGTTCACCGCTTTTCCAGAATGAGGCTTCCAGTGATAATCAAGTTGGTGTATCAAGGCTTGCAGCAGAGTGGACTCAGGGCGACAAATGGGGGACTCACGAGACTTGACTTGCGTGGTAAGTACCTGGTGATGCGGGAGTCGATATTTCGGCTGAACACTTGCCATGTGCTTGAACGGCAAATGCTCTTTGGTTCAATGCGATTGCATAAGAATGCCCGTGCTTTACTCTACTGACTCTGCCTTGAATCTGATTGTATATTTGAGCGGTGAACTTTGTAGTATTCTTGTGATTTACATCAGCCATCGATAATTGGCAGAGACGTTGATTGATGAAGATAGGGCACGTGTACACACATGAAGAATAGAGAAAGATCGCTACTGTAAGGAGTATTTTCAAGGGATCAGGGATTGTAAATTCACTCTCCTGCATAAGACTCAATCGTGAGACTGCAGCCCCAAAGAGGTTGCACCCGATGTCGGTGGCCCTTTGCATATATCCGGTGTGGACCCTTGCCAACGGAAAAAGACGCCGGAGACCCTATATCAAGTTTTGTTTTCGTGAATGGTCAAGGATGGCAGAGGACAGCTGCATGATGGTGGTTGAGTTCTCGTGTTGATGACGGGCTTGTATAGTTGAAACGGTCAACCTGCAGATAACCGGTATTCAGCATCTTGGTTGTCCACTCAGTTTGAGAGAGCTTATCAACTCAAAACTACGTACCTTCGGTCGACAACTTACCGAACGCCGAGTTGGAGGTTGTATCAAGCTGATGGCTGTGGTATCAAACAGGTTGAAATGCTGACTTGGATGCTCAACATTTACTGATACCTAGGTAGATAGTCTTCATCACATACTGAGCAGGACATCTACTGTAGAAAAAGAAACATGACTATTCCCCTTCTCATCATAGGCTTGATAATCTGAGTTAGCACTGCCAATAACCTGTCAAAGAACTGAAGATCTCACTATGGATTGGCTTTTAAGTTACCGAGTTTAAGCCTTTATGTATGCCAACTCTACGCAACCACACTGGCTGGGGGAGGCAAGAAAACTTCTGACTTCTATCCTAAGTGACAAAAAGACTTAGGTAAATTTTATATAAATTTAGGCAAATATAGTGTAAATTAGTGAGCCTTTAGGCTGGTCTTTCTTGTCACCTTGATTCCCGTTTAGAAGTTTTCTTGCTCCCTGAGGACTGGTTTTCATATTTCCGGAGTTGAGTTGTAGAACCCGCTTTTCGAAGAGTTTGGCTCTTGTTGAAATATCACATCACTTATCATTGCTCAAAGAGGAGAGTGATCATACCCACGTGCATCAATCCTTGGCTCTGGGCTGTTTCTGGAAATGTGGAGGAGCACTTCAAACTGACAAGATACAATGACAGTTCTTGAAGCTTGCATAGAAAAGAGAAAGGATGAAATACAGAGGACAATGTCATTCTTTTGTACATATCTCAATCTTGATGAAGCTTGTCATGCTGTTGTCAAAACCCCTGATCTACAATCACTAGTATTTGTTTAGGAAGGTACGGTTATAACAACCGAAGTAAGCAGGAAGACTCCTTCCCTCGTAGGACAGATAAAGCAAGCGAAGTACCTTAGTCAAGGAGGAAGGAAACGCTTGATTGATTCTTTCCCTGATTCAGGGTCGACTCAACAATCCAACCGTTTCACTGCTCGCCAAGAGATATTAAAAATAACTTCTCTCCTTTCCCCTTCTCCACCGACTACGCATATCGCCGTCCCCACGTTATTGTCGCTTTTTCTTTTCCTTCTTTTTTACATACAGCAGTTCACTAAGCCTTACGTACCTCAAATCGTGAATATCACACATATCGAGTTGTTGATCAACTCATCTCCATCTCAACTCCACTATATAGCGAGCTCGAGCCACTATCGACAGGCCACTCGCCTGTCCCGTGAGACCCCTACGCTAGATTCAGATCCAGACCAGCCCCAGCGAACGGACCATAAGAGTACCAAAGCCTCCAGGCCAAGCTATTTTGGTCGACCGAGCCAAAACATCCCCCAAAGCCGTGTCATTCGATTCGCTGCCGTTCTTCCCCCTGCAGTGAACGGGGCTTGAACCAAGATTTTATAGCTGTGTTTGTCGAAACTTCAGTGCTCGCTTGCGTGTGTCTTTTGCTTGACTCGCAGCTTACAGCCTTTTATTGCCCGCTATTTCCTAGCGGTATCTCTTTATCGGCCGGGTTATCATAACAAAACCCAATGTGGTGAACCTGAACTACTTCCAGTATTCGACATTCGAATAGAAGACGCGCTTGCACGTTCGGACTTGATACCTTCAAGCGGCAGCCGATCTCGAATCATTTCTTTTAGGAAGTGTTGATCGACCGAATCTCTGGACTTATCCTCAGCTAACGCGCTCCGCTCCGGTGGCCGCTCCTCGCCGTGTCCGTCGCCTTCTCCGGAAGACGATCCAGTCTTGGAATCACGTTTCAACATTACCTAAGACAACCAATCGCTTTCTATCCTTTGGTACTTGTCACCTTTAACTTAACTTAACCTCAACCTACTCCAAATCCAAAGAGGCTCTTTGAACTATCTTCACCCTGATGCAATTCGCACGGTAGCTCCTTTTACATCGTTACACCCATATACACTTGCGACTGGCTTTACCTGGTTCAAACGAAATCTGCTTTTATCTGCATAGCCTTCGGTAAGTGCGCCATATGTTTGCTTCATTTCCATGTGTTTCATGTGCCCAGTTTCATGTTTGCCTTACTATTTCTTCTTTCCTTGTGTACCACACATCGTCACCCTTCAATACATGAGCGTCAAATTCACTGCGAAACCTGAGTGAAACCCGACCACGGAAGAAAATTGTCGCAAACACGCGGGCGCCTGGTGATGAACAGTCCCAGGGACCGAGTCAGCCACCCACCCTCGACTTCCGGATGGCTGCACAATATGGGGGCAGGGGTGGTGACGTCGTCGGCCTGTGCTTTCAAGACGGATGCGAATTCACAAACGCCACTACAGTTACCATGGCCGACATATGGGACATAATTGTTGAACCTTCACTGGTTTCAACGACATTGCAGGTGACAACGCAATGTTCGTCCCGCCGCTCTCGTCATTTCAAACAATTGCTTGTTAGTGTATCAGGCTGTTTGCCATGCACATCCGCAATAATGTTTCTTGTCTCGAATGACGAAGAGCCATGGACATATCTTTTGCGCATCCTCTTGACAGGATATGATCGACGACGAATGACACCTCAACCCCCACCCAACAAGAATTCCATTCTCTTGATGGGTTCCAGAGACAGTTAAAGTAGCCGTGGATTGCACTGGTACACCCTCGAATAATCCAGAAAAAGAAAAGATGGCAAGCAAAGGGGAAAAGTGAACCGAAAAACACTCAGAACCCTGAATTGTTGCAGCAGGACGCACCAATCAGACCAGGGAGATGCACCACTGAGCTGGTTCCGAGATTTTGTCGGGGAGAATGAATCGGCGTTCACCCCACCATCCGGTCGACCAGCCGCCTCGACCACCACTCGGTACCCGCTGGCTCACCCACGAGGGCTGACAAGGGGCGGGTGCTTTGCTCTGGTGCGTTGTGAGGACCACTCATTAGCAGGCTGTTGAACGCCTGGGCACCCACTGGACGACGCCAGTTGCTAGTCAGTCAGGCTGACCAGGAGTCCCCTCATTCTAGCTCCAGTGACTGCTCACTCAGCCTCCAAAAGCCTCCAGCATCCACTGTCGGGCTTGTCCTTGTACTGGTTATGGTTCTGGTTCTTAGGCGTCTCCACCGGCCCGATCCTCTCCCCTCCTCTACTGCATGTTGTCCCCTCCATTTGCTTGATTCTTTTCGATTTCCTCAACTTGTCTTGGCTTCTGACATCGTCATCGCCTCCATTTTGCATTGCCTCAACCTCTTCCACAGCTCGAAATCCCTAAGAAGCGATATTGACCATATACGATATTGTTTTATGTGATATTGACAACTAATAGTTTGTTTTATTTTGTCCCGCAGTTTACTCGCCGTTTACGATTTATTTTCCTCTGCGAGACCAGCGACAACAACGATACCCCTCCGTTTCTCTTAATAATAACTTTTCTCGCTTCACTCACCCACGAAAGTCTGCACGAGAGCGATGTTATGGCCGCTGTGATCGGCGACTTCATCTCAGACACCTCATATCCTCATACCATGATTGCCAACCCCTCCCTTCAACATCACCACTCACACGACTCTTCCTCTTCGTATCGATCCGGCAGCCGATCACGACGCTCCACCACCCCGCGAGCGCAGCGTACAGCAGAACTCGCCGACTTCAGCAGCAACCACAGCTCTGCGACGTGGTCACACGAGCCTGCATCTGCATCGGCTTCAGAGTCAACTTCTACTCCAGTGCCTGCGGGTCACGAAACCGCCCACGTGTCGGCCACTGGAGGAGCCTCACGCTTCCCCTCCCCGCCTCCATCCTCATCGCCCGCTGCTGCCACCGGCCCTGTTTGTGCCGATGATGCAAAGAGTCCGTCTATGGCATCTGACGCGAGGGACTCTGGTCCCCTAGGTCACGCTTCTCAGCCCGGCCCAATTTCTCACAACTCTTCTGCTCAACAACCATCTCCTGCATCCGACGACTTCCAAATACCCAACCCTTCTTATCCTCTCTCCAGCGCATCGTCGCAACCGCCAGAGCAGACTGTCATACACATCCGTGATCTAGCGCATATCCAGAGTCTGGCCAGCGCCGACCTGCTATCTGGTAATGGCGGAACCGGCATCCTCAATGATCCGCCTCTTCAGCAGATGAAGTATGAGATTAGTGGTATGCCCATAGGGGATATCATCGAGATGGTTGCTGCGCTACTAACAAAGATCACGACCACCAACGATTTGCAGCACGATGCAATGCAGCGTAATGTCGCTCATCAACAACAGGCCAATCAGTCTGGTGACAACAGTGGCAGCTCGATCTCATCACTGAATCATTCAGTTCTGGCCTTCCACGGCAAGAATGTTCCTGCTATCACCATTCTCAGCTACCTCTCAAGAATACACAAATACTGCCCCACTACCTACGAGGTTTTCCTCAGTCTGCTGGTATACTTCGATCGTATGACCGAACGTGTTAACGATATGGTCATGAAGAATGAAGAGAACCGACGGCAAACGCGATCCCAGCAGCCGAACGCAACTTCTCCTCAAGACACTCCTATGCGCGGTGAAGGCATGGATGTGGATGAGAGCGACTCGGACCTAGCAGACGACGACGACGATGAGGAAATGGCTGATTCAACTCGACCAAGCCGGACAAGCAGCCATAAGGGAGCTGCTACCCCTACTGAACACAGTGGTATTGCAGCGGCGACATACTTTGTTGTCGATAGTTTCAATATACACCGTCTCATCATCTCTGGTGTGACGTGTGCAAGCAAGTTCTTTTCAGATGTTTTCTACACCAATTCAAGATATGCCAAGGTATGTAACTACGCTCGGCGGACCCCTTTCTTAACGAGATAAAAACTAACGACACGATAGGTTGGTGGTCTACCTTTGGTTGAACTAAACCACCTCGAGCTTCAATTTCTGCTCCTCAACGATTTTCGATTAGCCGTTCCAGTGGAAGATCTGGAAGCGTATGCGACTATGCTTGTCGAGTTTTATGCACGAGAAGTAGTGGCCAAACAGGGGGGAACTGGAAATACTGAGTGATTGAAGTCACCAAGTGAATGTCAGACAAGGTGTTACCCTTACAGAGCTACCCACATCTATGATGGATAAACGTTGATCGTCTGCGTTAATGGATGAATATGGGGCTGACTCCGATTACCCTGGCAACCTAATACTTCAACCGATGCGAGACATACAAGGGCGATCTGCCGAGAGACAAGCAGCCATTGATAAACTTCACCCCTGGTGTTAAGTTCCGATTATGGCTACTCGATAAAGGCCTTATGGCCCTTGCTTCTATCCCGTGTGGATAGCTTATGAAAATTGAGAGGAGATGTTAAGGACCTCGAATAGCTTTTACAAGGCCGATTCTAAGAGAGAAGTAATGTACGACGATGTTGGACATGCTCGATGTTTGAAGGACGGATCGAAAGAGCGAGCAGTGGGCTGCTCAAGAAAGCTGTATTTCTTGCGTAGACTGGGGTACCTATACAGACATGGGCTACGGATATGGGTACGGAGAGCCAACAGAGGCAACCTGTTGGTTGGGAGACGGGGTCGAGGTTGTTTATTATTTTGTGGCACGCAAACACTGGAGTTGAAGGTGTTTTGGTAAAGAGGCATTTGCTTACTTACGTATATAGTAACCCGCATGACTCTCTATTAGCTCATAGGTCTCGAAAAGAGATGTCTTGATGACCAAGTTGACTTTCTCAAATCCATATAAACAAACTGTGAACTCTTAATAATGTTGGCTTACAGTCTCGTTCTCGGAGGCTCCCATGTCTCTGGACGATCAAACTCGATGACAGAGTTCTCCATCTTGATTCCAATCTGCCACTTGGACCAACCAGGCCAGAAGTTTTTAAACTCACCCGTCAACTTCCCGTCTTCATCACGATGCTGCTCAACGTCAAACCAGCCCAACATACACTTGGACGTAGACTGCTGCGGAACAACAGAGCACCATTGGTCAGTACCAGGTAGCTCGCCCTGACTTCCAGAGCCTTCAGGGAGTGGAGAAAGACCAAGGTAGTGTCGAAGCCCAAATAGTTGATCCATGAAGTTCGGAAGGGAAATGAGGGCGCGTAGCGAATTGGCTTGAAGGTGGCTTGGAAGAATGGTATGGGATCTGGTGAGGCTGACTCAGAGCTAGCTGAGTCTGTGGGCAATGTATCGTGAGGATATACTTTGACGGTTATAGAACCGTTTGAGTTGTCATTCAATTCGGCAGAGACTTGTCAATAACTCTTCTAACCATGTCTTGTTCTACCTGTTCTCTAACCCTAAAACCCAACAAACTCATCTAAGAAGTATCTATCTTGAACGAGTCACGACCATCCTTGTGACTTGATCGGACAATTTCAACACGCAGCCCACTGACCTGAGCTGGATCCACATCCCTTCTAAAGTCAGCCATCACACAGAGCTGGAGCTTCTGTCGTTCCAGCAGATAATATTCGACGTCTTTGAAACTTAGACTGGGAAGGTCTCCATATATGACCCTCTGTCTTAGTCGAGATTCAATGGGCAGTGCTGCTGCAATCACCAAGTCTGATGGGTTTGCCATGAGATTGCCAGCAAATGGGATACCGCCGACATAATGGGAGGTGAGCTTACCACAGTCGGTGGGTTGCTGTCCCAGGTAGAAATAGACGGTGAAAGAACCGGGCAATGCTCCCATATTCACCAAGACAGTGATAGTCCACTTGGTCGTGTCGTCTGTCGAAGAAATCCCGCCCGCCATCATAATATCCGTGCTCGCCTGAAGGCCGACCGTTGTTGAACCTCCCCACCATTCATTCACTTTCTTTTGTAAGTCTTGCCGGACATCTTCCTTCTGTTTCCCCGTTAGATCAGTATCAGCATACGTATATCCGAAAGCTTCTGTTGTCCTGGCTGTATCTGAGTTCCAGAAGGTGCCGTCATCGGACGCAAAGAACGGAGTCAACGGAGACTGAGAGTCTTGCATCTCCCCCTTGAGAGTGGTGAAACTGTTTTCACCCGCTGGCATTGGAGTGACCCATGAATACGGGTTGAGAGTCTGCCATATGGCAACTACCCGATCTGTCATGGCATGGTGAAGTAGGAACAGTGGATCGAACGAAGACAAAGGGACATATGTCATGTGGCCTCCAAGACCGCCGTCGGTATGAATAATGTCGTGAACAGCTTCGATTGAATCCGCGGTCGACAGATTCTGCGTAGCACCCCATGCCTTGGTCCCGAAGCTGTTGAAGTCCTTGTAACTAGTCAAGAGCTCATAAAGGCGCCGTTGTATCTCAGGCAGTCTAGATAGTAGCGCAGTGTTGACCTTTTCGTTGTCAGATGTCGGGTCGGTTTCGCTCTCAGATGCGTTGGGGGCTCTCTTCGTCTCGTCCCAGTCTCTCAGCTAGTTTAAAGTCAATGACAAGTTCTCTTGCAACGTGGGGGCACTCACTGGACTCCAAATCATGGCAGTTGCGTTTTTGGGATGAAACCTGTACGAGTAAAGAGGGTTGCGTATTTCCTGAACGCCTCGGGGGCCATACTGAGAGATAGTCGCATTCCAGAATACGTCAGGAAAATGTGATTCTCCTTCAGGGGCAGGCATTGCCCAATCCCAATATGGCATTCGGAAGTCGCGTGCAGCATCTATATATGGTTGCCGATCGGTCCCGTTAGGAAACATGCCGGCAATGACATTGGCCATTCGATATAGCTCTTGCTATTCGATCTTGTTAGCAGAAGCATGAGTAACAACAAGGCTTCTCATACCTCAAAGAGAGCTAGATATGGTCGGTGCCACACTGGGAACAGGACGGAACTGTGAGCACAGTAACCAGACTGGTTTGCTCCTGGCGCCGCCTCAACACCATTCCATGGCTCGAAGGGAACTCCGTGTATCCCTGAACAGACAAAGCATCAGTATGGCCTCTTCACAACGTTCTATCTGGGACAGTGCAACGTACCAGCGATCTTGTACCACGAAGCAGGGTCGTCCTGACTGACATCCTGGAACATGCTCATTGAGAGTATGAACAAGTCCCATTTGTATCGATCGGCCTTCATTTGCCGTATCTCGAGCCTTAGTGGTGTAGTGCCATTGCGAGTCTGTGGCAAAGCCTTGACGACGATCGGTGCATCGGGGTCTTGTCTGCGTGTGAGCGAGTCGATATCAACGCCGCCGTAGTTGTAGCTCTGTGCTGTGGCGGCAGCGAAGAGCAGCCAAGCGATGATGATACGCATGGTGTTGATGAGGATGTAAAGACGTAAATGGCCCAATTTGGGTACGCCTGAGTTAATAAAAGTTAGGTAAGTTGATTGACATTCTAGGGGAGGTGCAATCTTGTCGGCTGCTGCACCTGTTGGGCAGGTCCAGCTATAGATGGGGCTACTCGATATTTAAATCTTACCTAAGGCATTGAAGAGTGATAAAACGGGAAGAATTGGGACTATCGAGGACTTGAAATGGCCTCGAGAAAAAGAGTAAACTAAGCAAGCAAACCTCAAGTCCAGTCCAGTCCAGTCAAGTCATGGTTATATAAACAACCAAATGCTGTGGTGACTGTGTATTATTGCTACATGTTGCACCACTTCATGCTTCTAACCTTGCTCCAGATATACCAAAGAAACACGACTCCCATCTATATCCTCCACTAACAATCTCTGTGTGCAATGATGCTGTCATCTCCTACAAAGGATCCACGTTGTTGTGTGCCCCCGTCCTCAGCCAAAGAGACAGTAGCAGATGGGCGGAATCACAGAACGGCTTGTTACATTTCCCCCTTTGGGTCACAAACACTCCTTTCATCTTCCAACAACAGCTGTCTCCTCAGCTGCCATTCGTCGAAAGTCTCGGCTACTCGCAGCCGCCTTATGCTTTTGTATCGCTTGGTTACCAGGCCAAGCCCCAGGGAGCAAGAAAACTTCAGACTCTGAAAGAGGATGCCAAAATAAACTCATCAAAGAGGCCCCTAAACTTAGGCTAACTTACATAAATCTTTTTATCGTTTAGGATTGAGGTCCTAAGTTTTATTGTCTCCCCTAGCCAAGGTACACGGCAACCGATTGTCCACGTTGCCATGCTCCGTTTGCTCGGAGCTGTCCGATGCCGAGGTGCCGTGGATATGTATCAATGTGTGTTGCTGCCGTCATTGGTGTCATCTGCTTATCAAGCAGAAATATCCGATGTTGATGGCTCGGTGTAAGTATGAAATCGAGTAAAGTCGGTGAAGACACCTTAACGATTATCTGCTAGTAAGTGATTACGGGGCATCAATGATTACATCAATGTGTTAAAGGATGATAGAAGTACACGGAAGAGCATTTGCAGATTCTAAAAGGTATTGTCAAGTCATACTCGTATTAACATGCTGCACTATTGTGAATGTACAGGGCCGCCGCCATATAAACAGCTCAAAGAAAAAACAAATCATCAACACAATATATCCCTCTATTTTCCAACCCGAACGCCATCTAATGCCATAGGTCTCATCGGACCCTTCCGAGGCTCATCGCCACGGTCCACACGGTACTTGAGCTTGACACCCATTGCAGCAAGCTCAACATCGAGGAACTTGAGCGCGCCAGGGACAACAACCTGCGTGGTGTGGTCACCTCCAACCCAAGAGTTACCGTGACCATCCTCCCAAATCTCACCCTGGATCTCGGTAAGGTCGATGCCCTCCGCGTCGTCCAGCTTGACCGCACAGGCACGGCATCGTACGATGCTCGCGGCCTTCTTCTTGCTCGGGGCAAACTGTGACACTGTTGGCTGCACAGAGAGGAACGAACCACATCGGCGGCAGATCCACGATTTCGAGTAATCAGAGCAGTTGAGCAAACGATCTTGAAGCAGGAAAGCGGTTCCGTGTGCCAGTAGAGCATCACGCTCCATTTCTCCGACACGAATACCACCACCCCTCTTTCGGCCCTTAATAGGTTGACCGGTCGTGGGGACGACGGGACCCGTAGTTCGCACCTGGTACTTGTCGTTCACCATGTGTCGCAGTCGCTGGTAGTAGACGACTCCGATGTAAATGTCAGCTGCGAGCTCCTCTCCAGTGATGCCCGAGTACATGGGCTCATTGCCGTGGTAGTTGTACCCGGCCTTCATCAGCTGGTGGCCAAAGTAATCTCCTGCCGTGTTCTCTTCGTCAAACTTGAACGGCGTCGAGTCTTGCGCAAGGCCATGCAGCGCGCCAGCCTTGCCTGCTAGTGACTCCACAAACATGCCTATCGTCATACGAGAAGGGAAAGCGTGGGGGTTAATAATAATATCGGGAGAGATGCCAGTCTCAGAAAAGGGGAGATCCATCGTCGGCCACTTTTGTGAGGCAACACCCTTCTGTCCGTGTCGAGAAGAGAACTTGTCACCAATGACGGGCGATCGGGGAATACGGAACTTGACGGAGATTGTTTGCAGAGGCTCGTTACCTGACTCGGCTCCGATCAGGCGGACTTCTTCAACAAACCCGTTCTCCGAATCCTTGTACTTCTCATAGTGAGTAATGCCGTCGAGGTTCACCAGTTTGCCGTTGTAGTCGGGAGTCACTGTGTGCCAGGCACAGATGACGTCTCCCTCTTGAATCAGACGACCAACATGAGGCAGGCCATCATCATCCAGCATGCCCTGGTACTGAGCGCTCACGTAACTGTGTGGGGCAAAGCCAAAGGCCTTGGTGACACTCTTAGTGGCCTTGGTTCGAGAGTCGTCCTTAAGTGAGATCTTCTTCGTCTTATAGATTGTACCATGGCCAAAGCCTCGCTCGTGAGCACTCTTGTTGAGAATCATAGCGTCGTCCATGTCGTATCCAGTATAAGAGATGACAGCAACAACTGCATTCATACCATTGGGGAAATTGTCGAAGCCGTATGTGTTGTGAAGAGGTGCTCGCACAATAGGTGTTTGACCAGTCTGGATGCGATAAGACTTGTTGTCGGTTCGATAGCGGATAGCAGCGCCAGGAGTTCCCATGGTTTGCTTACCCATCTGACACTGGTACATGTTTCGGGGAGACTGGTTGAAATCGGAAAAGGGCGTCATGTTGGCGAGAATCGAGAGCATATTTGTGGGATCGAACTCAACATGTGTTGACTTGCCAGACTCGACCTCCTGAGGCACCACAGCAATGGACATGTAAGGCTGCTCATAAGGACCAACCCAATCCTCCTTCTGAAGAGGAAGGTATTTGACAGGGCGC